TTGAGTTTTCAGTGGAAGGGTACGGTGGTCGCCGCAAAACCACTGTCGCTTACCATGGGAAGTCGGGGAGAAGTACCGCACCCTATCTCCTATCGGTGGTTGGGTCCTTGATCCTAAATTGACAGCTGTCTAGAGACGCAAGCGGTCCTCCTTTTCTTCTGAGACCATTCCAAGCGAAGGGAAAACATCTCTCAGCGGAAAGCAGATCTGCTCCCGCATTGCTAGCCGCACCACCCGATCGCGCGCTATGAAGGCGAAGGATTGAGTTTTCAGTGGAAGGGTACGGTGGTCGCCGCAAAACCACTGTCGCTTACCATGGGAAGTCGGGGAGAAGTACCGCACCCTATCTCCTATCGGTGGTTGGGTCCTTGATCCTAAATTGACAGCTGTCTAGAGACGCAAGCGGTTCTCCTTTTCTTCTGAGACCATTCCAAGCGAAGGGAAAACATCTCTCAGCGGAAAGCAGATCTGCTCCGTCTATGAGTTCATCGAATGCAGTGATGTGTCAAAAAAGTGGATTGAATTGTCTGCCCTTAGCTGCATCACCTGCTCCCATGATCGTCGATTGCTCGAACGAGCGCCAGTAACGTCAACAATCTCCCTGTTGCAAGACTATCAGTCCAGTGGACCCTTCTCTACAGAGGAACAGGACGAGGGAGGCCGTCGCTCTCGCGGACGAGTCTAACCATCGGGCTGGCTGCGACCCCGCGAGATATACGGGCAGTAACCGCCCTGGTCCAACGGTCGGGCTCATCCTGAATAGGTAGAGTTCAGGTCTTCGAGGCGCAGCTTAAAGCAGAAGGACCGCAGTATCGAAGAGCTGGGGGCATTTGCAACCATAATTTGACAAAATTTTCCTTTTACCAGACGGGACGCCGAAATGTCCAGTAGCACCGTAGGTCTCAAGCACCTTGGACCCCCAGTACTTGTTAAAAAGCTGATGGACAAGGTAGGTACTGGCTGCTGCATTCTACCCTATAACGGTACAGTTTGCCAGATCGAATCACGCTTTTTATCGACAAAGACTTCCATGTGATTGGAAGGTCACTGAATACCATACTGAATCATCTATCCCATTCTTGAGCCTACTTTTTCTCCAGAGTGCAAAGTACCCATTGGATTCAACGACCCTACCCGCCCGCTAGACAGCTTTTAAGAATTTGTATGGTACTCAACAGAAAACATACGC